CGAGATTGTTAAATACATATTCGGATGAGGAGTTTTTGGAAGAATGTAAAAGAGATTTTAGGGGGTTGGTGGGGAAATGTGCATTGCCGGCTTGGTTTGCTATGAAGCCTAGTGGATCTAGGTTTAAAAAGGGGGTGAGAAAATGGAAGGAGAAAACGGATTGATTTGATGGATGAAATGGTTAGGGCGTTGGTGATACTTGAGATGGAGGTTGAGAAGTGGATTATGGTAGATATATAGATAGGATGGCAGATATACTCTACTAAATAGATAGTAACTATAGAAACTATAGAGAAATGTAGAAAGAAACTAGTACAAAATATAAACGAGTCATAATAAATAGCCTTCATCGGTCTCTTATATGTTTAGTATCACAATAGTTCTATATAAATAGATAGTTATGTATAAGATATGTGATTGGATATCCACAGGAGGGCAAGTATTCAAGATCAGCAAAATGAGAGTGAGTGTAGCATGTGAAAGAGACTCGGTTCTGGTCGGTATAGATTGTGCTGTGTATGCTTGAGATGACTTGGTTATTGAATGGGCTGCGCTTGTATTTGTCTTGAGAAAACGGGGTGGGAGAAGTCTCGAGAGATTTGATAGGGATAGTTTTGGGTTGACTTGAGATGTGTATCTGGATGTTTGTGGTGAGTTGGTATAGAATCAAAGATGGTATTGACATTCACTTTTATCTAATTTTCTTCACCCTTTCAATATACTGTAGTGATCGGACCCTATTTACCTAGAATAGATCGGGGGATTACGACATAATCAATCATGCAGTTCCATGAATTTCGATTCGCTGCCTATAACCTGCTATTTATCACTGTAACCTCTAGTAGTTTCCAACGTCCAAGTCAAGCTAGTTATAAACCAAGCCACTTTAATAGGTGGAAAATGATAGATGGAAATGAAGTTGCTGTAATCTATTATGAACTCAAGTCGGCAGTAGGAGGGTAGCGTGATTAGAATCCCCCTTGAACAAGAGGAGATATTCGAGTAGCGAGATGAGACACAAGAGTATTCTTTGCCATAATTTGTTATCATTGTCGAATAAGTGATGGTACTATCTATAAATTACTATCGTTTCTCAATTTTAAGCATGCATGCATGAACTTTTCACCTGCTTCTTATGAACTATATTCTCCATTCGAATCCAGCGATGTATACGTTCAACATCGTGTTCCTCACTCTGCCAATTTCTTATTGCCTCTATCAGCATTTACTTATGGATATAGTAACAACCTATTTGTTTTGACTTTGATTCGAAATTAATCCTTGAGGGTGGTTTTTATATAGAGATGTATTTTAAATTTTAAATCTTGGTCAATTTGTAGAGGTAAACAATAGGTGCTGAAGAATAGAAATCCACTCTGCCACTGGGCTATGAAAATTACTGCATCGAAGACGAGAGAACAGAATGAAATTGGTGATTCACATCCTCAATCTGTGCTTTCGAGCAATGTGTGAATCATAGTGGTGAATCGAAATCTATATTAGGAAAGCTAGGGAGGGTGGCTGCTTACACTCATCTATTTAAGCCATTAAAGTTCCGGTTTTGCTATATGTACAATACTAATATGTATGAATAAAAGGAGTTTCAGCAGTATTTTTGATCGCCATAATTGAAGTATTGATTCGGATGAGTAGTCTATAACCTCTCATCTAGCATATTTTGATTCTTATTATTGCCGTCGCTAGATATCTGTGTATCTCATTTCTCTATCCCGAGATGATTTTGTTGTTATTTCATGCATTTGATGTTTGCATCTAGAATGATATATTGATTTAGTACGGATTTCTGCCCTCCTCTTTCACTTTGAAGAGGGTCGAATTCTTATCCACAACGCCGTTCCCCCTAAAGATATTGAATCCAGAATCTCATTTGGAATGTAAAGGCTTTATAGGTAGCCAGTTTACGTTCGTTTTCTTCAATGCATAGCTTAGTAGCACATGTAAGCTAGGAGTATGGAGAGTGAATCCAATCTGCCGTACAAAAACAATGAAGAAGAAGCGCCAAGCAAGAGGATGGATGGTAAATCACACATCTACTCCTCAACACCCAAAAAGGAAACCATCGTAGTAGATTTGTGTTAAGTGATTCATGAAACTAACACATTTGGGAAGACACAGGGGCACGTAAACTGGCCCTATTGTCTGTCCCCTCGAAGTACCATGTTCAATCCTCGCTGATCTATGCTTTGTGCTTGGGACTGATGCAATTTGCCGACAGTCTGTAGGGACCTCAAAATTGAGGAGTTATCTCAAGCTCTCTCATGACTGACTTCTCAAATGTCTCTACTATACTTTAAGAACCCTTCACGTTGATGTGTAAAGCGGGGCAAAAGATGAGAAATAAGCAAAAACTAAATACACAGTAGACGGCAGCTAGTGTCAATTATGAGATTCACTCCACATCTCCTCGCCTTGTAAACTACTAGTTCACTTCCTCTGTCCCACTCGGAAGATCAATCAAAAAAAAAAACTTAAAATTTCTCTTGAAAATCCAAAGACAAAAAATGCAAAAAAAAATCAAGCTTTAATGATGGGAATTGAGCCCAACGGGGGGGTCGAACCCCCAACCTTGTGATTAAGAGTCACACGCTCTACCGATTGAGCTAGCCGGGCGGGCTTTGCTTGATGGTTTGTTGGAGACCACGGTCGTGTTTGAGAATATATTTGAGCAATTGGCAGGAAAATTCTGTAAAAACTTTTCTTAGGGGGATCAAGCGAGGTGATAGTGGGGCTGGCTTATGCGACGAGATTTTTGGTGGGGATGAGGAAAGGCTTTTGCTCTGACCATTCTCAATGGCACTTTTCATATGACATGCTTTTTCATTAATTGTAGGGCTATATATAAGAATACAACTACGCATAGGACAATATTCTCTTTTTCAGGGAAATTGCCCTAGGATAACTCTTCGTGATGACGAAGTACCTGAGGCTTTACAGTATTTACTCTATACTCTTTGATCACCGGTCGTCGTATGAATAAGTATTCATTATCGTCGCATCGAAGTGTATCTTTAGTATTTATGCCGTCTATACTTGAATGCTCATCGTCACTCCCTTCACATCAAACAATATTCCTCTTCCCTTCCCCATTTTCTTACTCAATTCTATAACAATATCAGATTTAGAGAAGCATCACATTCATTCTTCCCAATGTACTTCATATCCACTCTTATTAGAGTGCTTCGATCATAGTTTTGTTGCACATCTCATTTCGAGAAGATTCGAAATTGACATCCTGGTGGCGAATTTGGGTATTGTTGCATGTCTCAATATCCGGAATACCGGAATCTCTGATACACTTCCACCCCAGACTTGGAATTTTGGATTCAAGAAGATACTTTGTTGCATATCTGTAAAATTCGAATGAGTTAGAGGGAATGAGAAAACCGAAGCTCATACTAGGAATGCTTTACTTCGATTTGGACTTCAGGGGGTTTGACCTGGAGAATATTCAAAAGATAGGAATAGGTGGAGGTTTACTGTGAATATTTCCAATTGCTTTAGATTGCTTTCTATACAATTGGGAGTTCAAAATAAGTAGTGAGTTCTCAGTCGTTTTTTCTTTAGAAAAAAGAAGTACTTGTCATGGCAGGAATATAGTCCATACCGTTGGAAATTGGGGCCTTGGATTATGGTCCACCAAAGTGAGAATCTGCGTATGAATCTGAAGGTGAATACAAAACTCAGTAACGAGAACTAAAGAAGAGGAGACAGGCGTAAATCATCTTATATTATCCATATACAATTACAGCTCGTCGAGATTGCAAGTCCGGTGGCTAATCATAGATACAATTCCACTGATGAAACTTCGTCGTGATGATCTCATATCATTAATCCAACTTCTACTACACAGCACAAATATGGTCAACCCAGCCTACTATCCCTCTCGTACTATCCCTCTCGATTCTCTGAGATTCCTCAGAGCTCTTGAGAATCAAGGGATTCTGATCACGCTCACGTGCTCCGCGAGAAGTCCCCTCGCTTCCACCCACTTGCATTGTTATTTTGTACATAATTCCACAAACAGAGCACTCTGGCACATACGACCATAGACTGAAGAGAATTGGGCATCCCGTCCGCTCTGCCATACACAAGCTTCAGATCGGTGGATTAGTAGTTGGGTGGGTGACCACCAGCGAATCCCCACTGTTGTATGTTTTCTTTTGACTTTTTGCTGGCCTATGTATGCTATCCGCCATTCTAGGACGTAAGTAATCAATGAATACATTTTTTGACGCGTGCTCTTAAGCACAAGTCACTCTAAAGGTCCATATTTATGAGACGTTGACAACACATAGTCCACGACTATCCATCATTTTTATTTAATTTCTGTGAATGTACTTCGATTCATGACACGCTCCAGAGTAATCTATAGCAAACTTGGAACTAAGAAGGGCAAAGCAAAAGTGAGAGTATCGTGAGAGTAACTGCGAGTCGATCTTTAAGAATGTGCCTTTGAAATGATGAAAGCGTGGAAGCCAGGGACAAAAATTCGGGATAAGGATTGAATCAGATGGAGTTTATGTAGTGTGTACCAAACAGGTTTAAACAAACTATTCTATTCTTCTACTGCAGTTCCCCTTTACTATTATGCAGAGATGAATGGCATCTTACATCAACTAGTATAAATTATTGCTGTCTAAAAATACCCCCAAGTTTCTATCACTCTTTAGTAGAGTTCCCATCCTTAGATTTGAACCTTGGTTGTCGCATTCCATTTCCATCCTTTGGCGAACAATCTCCCATTGGATTCACAGGGTCCAGACGGTCAGAGTTGTTTCCGAAAGAGGGTGACTATGGTAGACTAAAGTCGTTCAAATCAATCTCACCATTTGTCTTAGAATCTGCTTAGTTTCTCCATTATTCGCCCGAAAAATGGAGTTGGATTGGATGCGAAATTCTGTAGCCCCTCGACTCTCGGGCTCTGCTAGTTTTAAACTGGAATGAAGGGCAACAAAGACATTGATGCCGAAAGCTCCCATTCACCAACGGCTTTGGAAGTGATGTTTTCGATAATCTCCCGTATTCTCGGGTGTCGGGTTCGAAGTCCAGACCACCAAGAAGATTAAAATCCATTCTGATATAATCCACCGCTCAATGCTAGCATTCGAAAGTGGAATTGGTGTGCAATTTTGAATGTCGTTCACTATTAACTCCTTCTGCATGGGGTAAACGTTCAGAAACAGGTCATCTATGGTATCCTGCGAGATCTTTCCATCGTCATCTACTTTAATACTCTTGCTTAATCCCCTCACGCCCCGTATGTAATCTTTAACATCATTATCCCGTTCGATTGCATTTGAAGCTCCCCAAACTGCCACATGAACGTTAGCGCACATCTTCAGAATCTTCTATATAATGCATAACAAACATATGGAAAGCAATGATCTCTTCTTTTCTTGAAATGATGCACCTTGTAGGGTGGATATTCTGTCTAGTTACCCAAAGCGTTGGCTAGCGAATCTATAATTTCTTCCCACTCCTCTTTTGGGCGATACTTCAACCAACTGATCAAATCCTTGAAATTTTTCTGCGACACTTCATAGCAAGCGCACATGCTTATGATTAGTCCGATGAAAACCCCAAGAAGGCATATCGTAAGCCCGACGAAATCATCAGGACAAAAATTAGATTCTTTGAGACGAGTGATACTACAGTATCTTGTAGATGATGGAAGAGCGACAGGTGCTGAGACAACCGCGCCAATGACTGCAATACGAGTCGTTACTGCCCAGATGCTAGTTTGGTGCCTTACAATCTCAAGTGTTTTCATTGAAAGCATATTGGAGGAGCTAGCAATTTTTCATGCCGAGTTGCAAACGATCCGGGGTGAATATCAATCCTTTTATCGAATGGGTATCTTATGAAGTCCAATTCCTTGGTTATTCTTGTTAAGAATCCAATTGTGATATCTCAATTCTGATGCGACAAACTGCCAAGATCAGAGCCGTTCACTGGATTCTCTGTTCGTTTACACGAGAAAACTCAAAACACTGTGGTTATGAAGGTAGGGATAATTTGCTCGAATTTATTTGATACCAGTCTTCTACGAAATGAAAAGAGTATTGATGTTTTTTCTTAGAGACAAAGTGGTGTGTGAAATATAAAAGTTCGTGGGCGACGCTAGTTTTTAGATTTGCGACGGACTAATATTTAGTGAGGCACTAGTCACTTCCGAAGACAGTGGTGAATAAGATGGCCATAGACTTTATTCATCACTAAGGGCTATATGTGACGCACTAGTCTATGTTACCAATGCTTATCATGTCATGATGTGAGAAGGCTTTATGAAGAAAGCTTGTTCCATGTACCTTCCCTTCCTCGTCTCTTCGAAATGTAGAGATTTGTTGAGTTCAAGAAGCTTTTGCTAGTTAGAAAAGGCTTTATGTGATCTCCGGAATTGTTGGCTTTTGTTTGTGCACTGGGGAGGGACGTTCCATATGAGCTTTGACGAGAGATCTTCTCCTGATCGATTTCAGAGGTGCATACCTGACTGAGTATGATATGGCGAATTGTATCAGATGAAGTTAGATCAACCCTTCTGTCGAGGGGACTGAAAGAATCAAGGCTCGCAATTTACCTCAAGATTGTATAGCTGAGGGACGGGCTAGTTCTCTGGTATCTATCGACTGGCTAAGAATTGATTATGGAGTATGTGGGGCTCGCTTGGATGTCAGGGGTTGGCAAAAATTCATTACCGTCGATTTGTGCTTTCTTGAGAGTGATGTGCATATTGATAAGTGAACGGCGGTAGCACTTTGATCCGAGAGACTATCTGTGATGATTATCCGTTCTCATTGTCAAAATTATGTCTGAATTTTGCAGAGTGGGGATACATAATCTGATAAAATGGACAAAATAATTGTCATTACCACTTCGAACAGTGAAGAATTGTGTAAGCTAAGATGTCTTCAACGAGATGAACTAACATCTGATGCGAACGAAGGAATGGTGACTTGAGGTACTTGATCCGAATGGAAAGTTCGATTGTCGGTATCTGGCTCAAACAAAAGAGGTAAGGTGTGCGAGGAAGCATCTAATTCGAAAGAAAACCTAGATTATTGAAGGGTTGTGGTTTCGTTGGCTGATTCGCTCGTATATTTCTTGGGAACTTTGCTTGAGATCTTGGTGCTTCAATCGACGAGATTGACTAATAATCTTTTGAACTGCATGCTGACTCGCAGGGTTTCTGAGAATGAGATTGGATAGTGATTTATAATGCCTGCTCGAGTGCTTTGCTCGTTTGGTTTGAGTTGTAGCGGTTCAAATGACGTTACTATTGAGCTGTAGTGTTTCAATTAATGAGATTGTGATATTACTATTGACATAGGCAGTAAATTAACATATAATGTTTCACTTGATGAGATTATATATTATAATTTTATTGTCATCAATTAACTAGACAATCATGGATTCTTGATATACTGAATTCATTTGGTGCTTTCAACTCACTTAAAATATTGTCATTTTTGGTACATTAAATTGACTTGATGTACTGATATACTTTGAGACATATATATGATTTAGAAGATTTACGTGAATTGAGAAAATAATTTTGCATCAAGAAATAAACTGACTTAAAATATTGAAATCCATCGAAACATTAGAATCAATGCAGCTATCCAAATTATCTAAAACAATAAAAGTATCAAAGCCATTTTATTTCCCTAGAACAATAAAAACATATAATAAATCAAAACAATTAGAACATTAAGCACATCTTAAATTCTAAATTCATGTAGAATACTACAATCATCTTGACCCATTCGATCAATACAACTTCCATTCAACAATTGATTCAGATACACAAAAAACAACAGCTAGAAGTTCTTTTCAATTTTCAATCTGGTATTAGAAATTGTTACCTCCAGTGCGAACTTTCAGACTCTTGATAAGAAATCATACATTGATTGACGACAGCATTAACCGCTATACTATCCCAATCCCGACAGTAAGCCTTCAGACGAACAAGAAAACTATACCATACTCCACTCCCGTTCCTCTATTTCCCTATCCGTCTTTCCCCTGTCTACAGATAACCCTAAGTCAAGAGCGAGAACAATCTTTGCATTTCGGTATATTTCTCGCATCAAGAAATCATCTCCTATCATAGTATGCGTCTCTTTTGTCCTTGTCTATCAGAGATTTTGAAAGAAGAAAGATAAGTGTGATATACACAGCCCAACTTGTGGAACACCATACTCAAAGCCATATAATCACTATCGAATACCGGACTCTCGAAGATAGGAGAGAGAGAAAAGGGTCAGTGAATACTCTCTACCGTATCTGCATTCTCTGTCTTACCCCCACTATGTCCATGTAAATACACCCTTTCTATTCCGTTTCCCTCCTCTTTCTCGATCCCAGAAATTAGCCTTTCATATGATATAAAAAGACACCCATTTTCAATTCTGAACTGTGGTGCAACGCACTGCGAGCACTGTGGGCCAAAAAGCCGTCGTGCTAAACTACAGGACCATACGACTTCGTCCCGAGTCCATCCTCAGAGTCACTTTGCGAGACAATAATTCAATTCTTCATAGTCTGTAATCCATACACCTAACCACCCACCAAGAGTAGTACTTTGCGAGTGACAATGAATATCCCATCTTCAAGCCAACAACACAAAGGAGCAATTGACAGTAAAAATCTTCCGCTTCACAAGAAACTGCAATCAAACCCCAAGCAAGTATAACACTAAACCCTCGTCCATGTACCAGCCGTAATCCTTGCGACAATTACTTCTTTCTTTCCCAACATATGCTGTGATAATTAATGGTTCTAGGTAATTTTGAAAATCAGAAGGACACTAAACCTTGCATTGTTATATAAACAAATGAAAAGAAAACATTCTCTCTAGAGCATTTAGGAATTCATTATGACGTCATGTCCAAAAAGAGATCAACAAGGGAGGGGAGGGAGGTACTGTGAATCCGCAGAATCAGAGAGTGTATGAAGAAATATTATAACAAGTGGATCCTCTTTTATACCTCTCCCTAACTCCGCCAGACAATCCTTCTCTTCATTATAAATAGATAGCACTTTCTATTGTTGAGATACCAAACACGTTATAAGAAGCTCTGGAGATGTGGACCAGGCCAGATGTTCTGAGCGTTTTGTTCGCAACAAAGGGATGCATATTACTTTACTAGTTTCTACTTCCCGCCAATGTTTATAATGATTGAGAATTATGTCGGCATCGTAAATGATTAAATGATAATCACATCCATATCGATGACAACAATATGAAAATAAACAACAGACAGTGAGAATATACACTCATCTCACCCCACCCCCACAACCACAGATCCAGAACCCCAAAAACCAAACCCCTTAAATCTCAACACCATGCCATCACCATCCACCCCATACCGAGCGCCCTGTAACATTTTTGCGTATCTGGAGGTCCTTTGAAGATCGAAATCCTACAACAGATATCAAGCTTTACATAGCCATCCATGGATATATACATGCCGATATGAATCATCCTCATAATCCACCTACCTTCCAAATCAGATTTCCAGCTCACTACATCTTGCATAGACAAGTGATTATACATCCAACTCCACTTCACGCTCGTCTAAACTTCTCCTCCTTTCTCCACCTCTCCCTTTCTCCACCCCACCCCACCATCGCTTCCCCCGCTCTTCCTCCTTCCAAACAGCAATACAAAACCCTCCTCCTATCCCTAAAATATCAGTCATCATCGCATGCCAACTGACACCCAGAGACCAATGGGGTTGAAGCCTCCTAGCCAAAAAGTGATTACACCCCTACAACTGCACTTCTAAATTCTCCCAGAGCACTTTACTTTCCACACCGTGAATTTTTTGGTCTAGATAGATAGATAGATGAAAAGCCAAACAAACTGGAACGACTTGATTCATGAAAAGTTATCTTACCGACAATAACAATAACAACAACAACGATAATAACGATGGCAATGAAAAACAAGCAACGAGACTGAAGAAAGACACTAATGAAGATAAACATCAACAATAACATCACCCCGACCAATTTCTCATTCCCACCATCTCAAACCAAGCTCTCATTCTCCATCAAATTCACTCTCAGGGACAAGCACAGAAAACTCCTCTCCCCAAATCTGCTAGCATTTCTCCTCAAACACCAAAAAAACCCCTTCACAAATCCAATGCTTTTTATACCACCTATTCGCTTGCTTTCCCTTTTCCTTCCCTGACTCATTCTTCTTCTATTCACTCTCACGCCCTTCTTACCCATCGACCACCCCTTCCGTCCTCTCTTCCCCCTATCTTTCCCCCCCTCTCCCATTCTCTACCCCCCTTCTCTGTTCCACAAATCAAACCATACCGACACGACATCACATCACAGAATCGATGTTCACTCCACTTTACCTCTCGTAACTTTAGTTTTGCTTCACCCATGTATAGTATATAGTATATGCTTACTACATATCTACCTACTATATACCTATCTACTACATATCTATCTACTACATATCTACCTACGACATACCTATCTATCACAAAGCAATTATCTAGCTATTATATAGCAATTACCACCTATCCACCTATCTACTCCACGACCTGCTCACCTACCCACCTACTCGCTTTCACAAGAGTAAGATCTGTATCAGCCAACACGTATCCACTCACTCACCCCTCACCTCTTACCCTCACTCATCCCCCCTCCCAGCAAAACACAATCCAATCCAATCCAATCCAATCCAATCCAATCCCATACAAACCCATACAAACCCTCATTCCCTCTCACCCCCAACCCTCCGCAATACTCACAACA